TTGTCATGATGCAAATGGGAAATGACAATTGAATTGAATTGAATTGAAAATAATTGGCTTTCCCAGACCCGCGGCACCCGGTAAAGGGCCCAGACAGCAGCTTCGTTCCCGAACAAATATTTTTCGAAAGTGAAGAAAAATTAGGCACAATAAATTGAACGGAAGTTGCTGCTTAAAAAGGAAAATAAAAAAAGAAAAGAAAAAAAAAAAAAAGAACAGCAAACAAAAATAAGACAAAAGCCATTGAGGAAAAACAAGTGAAAAAGCTGGCGGAAAAAGCGGAAGCTTGCAAAATAGAAAAACACCGACAACTGGTAAATGTCTAAGGGAAGGGAGAGTGAGATAGAGGGAAAGAGAGAGGGAATGAGAGCTAGAGGGAGGGGAGTGGCCGTGGGGGTAAATGTTGTTGCTGGTGTTGTTTGCCTGCGGTTACTGCTGTGGCTATTTGGCCAATACACACACACACACACACACATACCAACACACATACGTGACAGCCGCTGCGTGTGCTGTGTTGAGTCAGTTGTTGTTATTGTCTAGCCATCTAGATTGAAATTCTTGCGTCGCTTTAGGCTTTTTTTTATGGCCCTCGAGCGGGTATTATAAATGTATCAGGCAACTTGTCACACATTGAAAGCAACGACTAATCTCTACCTCAATGGCAATGCCAGTGCTTAAAGCGCTTTTGCGAATGAGCACAATTTTCATTGTATGTATCTAGTCATAAAAATACTATATATGTATATATTAAATTTGTACATCAGGCCATCGTTCTATGCTTAGCTGTTGTGTATACTAAAAGTAATTGGTCTCGCGAGGTTACTTCAATTCCAGCTCCAGTTCCAGTAATTAGTCCCAGTTTCAGTTGTCAGCTGCAGTTGCTGGTTCCGATTCCAGTTGACATCTCTAGTTCCAATTTCTAGTGCCACTTCTCTTTTCTAGTTCTAGTTCTAGTTCCAGATCCAGTTTCAGATTCTGCTCTGCTTGTCAGTTCCAATTGCAGCGTAATCTCTAATTCCAGCTCAAGTTCCAGTTCCACAAGTTTCAATTCCAGTTCCATTTCACATTAGCAGTTCTAGCCTTACTTTCAGTTTTCATTATCAGCAACAGTTACATCGCCAGCTCTATATATCCAGTACAAGTTCCAAATATAATTTCCAGGGCCCAGTATCCAGTTGCAGTGGCTAGTTCCGACTCTAATTGCCAGCTCAAATTAGTTCTAACTTTACATTCAATTCTAATTGTCAATTCTAGTTCCAGTTCCAGCCCCAGCTCCAACTTCAGTTCCAGTTCGAGCCCCAGCTCCAGTTCCAGTCCTAATAGCCAATACCCACTGTTCAGATCCAATCGCCACTTTCAGTTCCAGTTCCAGCTTCAGTTCCAATAGCCAGTTAAATTGTCAATTCTAGCTCCAGTTCTCAGTTTCATCGGCTGTTCTATACATATGCCATATACCCCGTTTTCTATAAATATTTTCAATCAGCTTGATTCCTACCATATCACATGCCGCTCCCCTCATTAGCTAAAGAGACTTGTTTTGATCAGGGTATGCGAGATTCGATACTTAATATCTACAACAGCTTTCGTATTGCATGTTCACGTCTCGTGTCTAGACACATGTATGTATGTATGTGTCTGCACATCCTTATACGCGGTCTCAGCACTTGTGCAGGTCTGCCAGCCGTTCAATAGAGACAGACAGTCAGGCAGTCAGATAGACTAGACAGAGTACACGGCCATGTGGCAGGTAGTAGCTGGTAGTAGCTCAGCTGACAGTCATGATTGTATAGCCTATATATACATACATATGTATGTATGTGTGTATCTTGCATATGTGCATATATTACATAGACAGACGTTCTGTGTTGCATAGAGATTTTCAATTTCCATATTATGTTGCATGCACTGCCGTTTGCAATGCTTTTGGCAATTTCCGTTGCAAATGCCAAACAAAGGAAAACTGAGCGTAACTCGCAACACCAACAACAACAACCTCAACAGTGGCCAAACAATGAGTCAAATGAATGAATAGAAATTTTATACACGTAATGCCATCGGTTGCATTCATGCCAGCCGACAAAATTGTCGCCAACACTCCAACAGAGAGAGAGAGAGAGAGAAAGAAGAAAAGGAGAAAAACCAACAAAAGCATTTAGGCTGGGCTTTCTCATATTTCTGCTTGAGACACATGAAGTCTCAAATTGCATAAATTAGATGAGTCCATGATTGAGCCAACAAAGGCTTTGTCAACATCATTTTATAGAGTGCTGTCAGCGTATGTTAAGCCTGTCGAATATCGTCGAATATGCGAATAGCTGCGAAATTTATTAAGATCCATGAATAAGTAGAAGCCATTTTCTCAGTCTCTAGAAAGAGAAACAAACAGAGACACGTGCAGAAAATGTCTCTGGTTCTTTCTCTATTTCTTCTTCTCTTATCTTTTTGCTCTGACGCTGCTTCTCGCTGTTACTTTTTACCTCTCTCTATCTCTGTTTCCCCTGTCCTCTCTCTCTCTCTCTCTCTCTCTCTCTCTCTTACGATATATGTATATATCTCTCTGCTTCTCTCTCTCTCTCTCTACGATCATATCATTTCCTGTTTTACTACTTTTACATTACCTTTTAGCCCCCACGGATGATATTTAGGTCTATTATAAATACCTCTTAATCCTAATTACTGAATTTAAGCAAATATTTCTGATTCGTTTTCATTATTCGCCAGATATGTGAAGCTTTGGCTGCTTAGCTCTAAGTTGTAGCTATAATATGTATATATGTATATCTAATATGTATTATTATCAAATGTTTCATTGCGAATTTATAACTGCAGAATACTAATTGAAATTACAATCCCGAAATCCGAACCAAATGGAAATTATTGTATCAGCAGTCTTTTGTTCCGTAGACAACAGAGCTCATTAAAGGATCTACTTATGGTTGAGTTCCAATCCGATTTAAAGCTTGCTAGCTCTTTGTTCATCCTTGTCTGCTCTTGTGTCATTCTCAAATTGTGAGACTAGACCAAAATTTCCCTTGTTCGACCCGAGCAAATCCTTTAAGCTGCATTCATTCGATTGTTTGGTCGGGTGTGCTGGCCCAGGTGTGATGCCATGGGCCCGGCTCCATCTATCTCCTCTTCACACCCAGTGACCAAATGCAAGTTTGCCTGCCGAGCTCTAGGCGGCAGGACGTAACTATTGTTCAATTACCTCATGCGCCTCCTCCACTCGGTGAGGCGAGAGGAGTGGATTTACCAGTCATGTAAACTATTCATAGATGCCATTTTCTCTCCGTCTCTCTCACTCTCTCTATTTTTTCTGCTGCTGCTGCTGTGGCTGCATTCAATTTCAGGTGGTAAGCATGCCGCCCGCTGAGCATCATGTGGGCACGCCCCACAGCCAGGCGGCTGGCGACGAGGACTATCAAATGGCGGCCAGCGCCAGCCAGTGGAAGGATGTGCCGGACAAGTACTTTATGGTGATAGCGCACTTGCTGGCCGGCCACATCAACGACACGGAGGACATGGAGCGCGTCAATGGACCGATACTGAAGGCGAGCATCAAGTCGGTCTATTGGCTCTTCCTCATCCAATACGCAACCCTGGCACTGCTGGGCGTCATTCTGAACATTGCCATCATTGTGTACATCATGTATAATCGGCTCTACAAGGATGTCACGCATGCGTTCATCATCAATTTGGCCTTCTGCCATTTCGTGCAGTGCGCTCTGGTCTTGCCCGTTTCGCTGATGGTGATGCTGCTCCAGAACTGGATATTTGGCCAATTCCTGTGCTTCTTCTTGCCCATGCTGCAGGTGAGTGGCCCATAACTTATTGCTCCAGCCGGATAGCCGGACAGCCGGCCAACTCGCTGGCTCCAGCAAATTTTAATTAAACTTACTCATGAGCATTGTTATCTATTGCGGCTCCCAAGCTCAACTCCCATTCCCTTTTGCACTCTCATCCTCTATCTTATCCTCGCACGCTCTCCCTCTATCTCTTTCTCTCTCTCTCTCTCTCTCCGTGCTGGGCTGTAAAGCTGCCAGCGGGCCAGATGAGCCGATAAACCTCATGGCACTATGACAAGTTAATAAACTTAACGCAGTCTGCCTTATCGGTTCTGGCCTGGCCTCCGCACAATGGCCAACAGACAGACGAGAGTTGGACCGTGCCACTGTGCCTCTGCCCGTGGCCGTGTACGTCTCCGTCTCCGTCTCCGTCTCCGTGTAGCTGAAAACAAAGTAGAGCACGGACCGGACCGAGAGCAATAGATAAGGGCCAATAAGACACTAAAATATGAACCTAGTGCAAACAATGAATTCAAATGATTATTGGGATTTTCGCCATCTGTGCCGCTGCTACTAATTTCCTTTTCACTTTGCAACTAAAGTCTTAAGATAATTTCTTATACTATTTAGTCTTTACTTGAGTTTGGCTTATGTTAGGCTGCATAATACTGGGAATTACATATTAAATTATAGTAATTAGTAAATGCTTAATTATATCTTAGTTTTCCATTAATCATGTCATTTACCAAGACTGGCAATGAGACAAGCTTGTCGATATACAGGCGACATGATTTTATTCTCATTAACTCTCGTTATACTCGGAAGACCCTACAACCATATCAGCTTGCTTATATAAGTTTGTCTGGGGGCCTTACGGACGCAATAAGCAGAGTCGTTATAATCGTATTCTACTGTATATGTATATAATACATATCATATTTAGTTTAGCTGAGCTCGTCGTCATTCGATTCACTGTGATATTCTCTGTAATATATTTTATATATTTCAAATTCCTCCTCTTTCTTATATACATATATATCATGCATTAAAAATTAGATCATTTTTCCTTAGTAAAGCCCTTTAGACTAGCCAAAGAAAGGTTGAATGATTGGAGTAATAAATCTTCTCAGGGTTCGGGGTATTTGCTAGTCGAGCACTCCCGGCCAGAGAGCTCTTAATTGGTATTTTTAAGTCAACCCCGACAATATCATGCACTTGACAGCCGACCAAAAGTCACAATCGGGCAAATATTTAATTTAAAATGATTTTCTGCTTTGGCTGGCGTCTGGAAGGACATTAAATTTGCTTTTGAAGTAACCACAAGTGCCTCAACGCTTGAGTAGTCATAACTCATGCGTTTGCCCACTCAAGTCAACAAATTCCCGGTACTAATTAGACGCACATCAAATTGCCATGAAGTTCGCATCAAAGAAACTGTAGACCCTCAGCTGTTGCCTTGATTTGCAATTAAGTTCGTTTTAAGCAGCTAGTGGATGCGTTTATATCATCAGATTCAACTAAAAATAGATAGTCAATTCAATTGTATTCAATTTACACGCTCGCACGACTCACCTCTCACCTCTCACTGGGGCGCGACAGTCAAAGGGCTGTCAGCTGAGCCTAATTGGCATGTTGTTCTCTGATAAGGGCGCGTGTGGAACTCAAAAGACCGTAACGTCACCTCTAGCCGCAGAGCTCCAGCCACCACACACTCGGCTCAACGCTGAGAGAGATTGGCAGCACCCACATAATAGCTTCAGCCGCATCTTATTGTCAAAGCCGCAATGATTGACACATCTCACGGCTGCAGGTACATTCATACAGCTGTAGGTGTGTGTATGTATGCGTGTGTGTGTGTGTGTGGCAATACTAAATAAAATTTACTCTCATTCAATTTGTTTTCTCACTTTTATCTAATCTCTTCAGCTCAGCGTGTGACGAAAATAAATGTTACAGAGCAAATAAGAAGTTTCGATAAATCGATTAATTTTCCTTTTCTTATATTGTTATTTCATTTTGTCAGCTTGTGTTATGTGAGTGAAATGGTCATAAAAATGTCTATAAAATGTTGGCTATTTTATTTTTAAATTTGTAAAAAGACAGTGTAATGCCAGGGTTCCGAAAAGCTCTTAACAATCGAGCTGTTAAGCTCATTGACAATCTGGGTTTTAGTGGGAAAAATTTGGAATTAGATTATCTTTGTATTTGTAGACAGCAAATATTCTAGTCAAGCACTGTCTGTCAGCGTGCTGAAAAGCTCTTCATAATCCAGCTTTTAAGCTCATTAATAGTGGTTCAATGGATAAACACTCAAGAGTTGTTCGATCTAATTAATAATCAGAGTTTTCACTTTCTATAGTTGAGTTTATCACGTATTTATATGGAGAACTCTATGTGGCGTCTTTCCAAAGAATGGCAGAATATCAAATAGTAATGTGCTTTATTTCTGGATCGCAACATTTAGAGGCGAGTTGATTTTCATGAGATTGAATTACAGACACCTAATGCAACAGCAGCTGGGACAAAACTTGGACAAAATGTCAAGCAACGGAAATGATTCGATTTGATTGCTATCACAATGGGCGACAAATAGCGCACACAGACACACACACACAGTTACACACGTGTAAACGGATATTTGTGGCATTTACACACATACACAGATAGAGAGAGAGAGAGAGTGAGAGATGTATATATATATGTGTACATTTGCAGCGCGCCCTTGAGCCCATCGAATTTGATTAATGCCATCGGCGCCGCAGACAATCCGCAAACATTGCAATTTACTTCAATGAGCCTTTAAATTTGCTTATTTCAAGCCAAATCCAAGATGAATGTGCATTCCATTTGCGACAATTATTGTGTTTAATTTCACTGTGGCTTTTGCTGAGCCTGGCTAACAGAAGCTGACGAAGTGAATCGATATGGAATGCGAATTGAATGCACTCAACTCTGAAATTCTTTTGTACTGTTGTGCAAATTGAGTATGGCGCTATATACATATACATATATAGTTTATATGTAGTGTACTCACGTAAGATAAACAGAGAATATGCCTGAAGTCAAGCAGCAAAACCTTTCAGCTGCTATAATCAAATTCTATAGCAGGTCACAGTCTTATAGATCTTCGAGTCAATAACTCTGCAATAAACCTTTCAGCTATCCAATCAAAACGTATGGGGGTTATAGTCTCATGGATCTGGGCCCTTATAATATGCCATTAGACGATTATAAATGACATAAAGTATGCATGCTTTATCAACATGTATAAATTCTCATTACCTATCGATGGCCATTAGGCTTCGACTTCTCTCTCTCTCTCTCTATCTCTCTCTTTTTATCTCTCTCGGAAGTCGACGGCCTCATACTCTACCACAGGTCCAACAAGTTTCAGGCCGAACACATTGTCGTGTCGCCAGTCGCAAATTGCGTTTGTCTAGACTTGGCCGTCTGCTAAGGCCGTTAACAAGATTGTTAGGCAAATGAAGTTAGTGTAAAATATTTGGACTGCAAGTGTAATAATTCTGCTTTGGGCCAACTGATGCATGATCTATTTGGCTTTGTGTGAATCTCTGGGCACACTTAGCTGAATAGATTGACCATTGCCACAATGCTAGACAATCTGTTAAATATATGATGTACACACACACACGCACACACACACATATCTGTGCGTGTGTGTGTTTGAGGTGCTGTCACAAAATCCAATCTGAACTCAAGCAAATAAATAAACAAAGCAAAGGCCCAGCCGAAATGGATAGGCGGGCAAATCTTTGGGATTTCGCATTGAAGCATAACAAGATGGGCAAATGTCTGCAGGTTGCCAGGACATACACATAAACAGCTGAATACATATGTGTGAGTGCTCAACGGAGCGAGCCCAACGTGCCTCGCTGCTGCAACAACAATCGGAGGCAAACAAATTTGTTTCAATCACCGCACATGGCCGAAAAATGGTTGCCCCAGCTCAAGCAAAATAAAGAATGGCTGAGGGGCAACAGCTCGCCCCATCCATATTCATCTACCAATATACATATATATGTACATATCTAAATTTGCAATTGTATGTGTGTTTGTGCTTTCTTGAACTTGCAGGACATACCGATACATGTGGCGATGATATCGCACATTCTGATTGCCTGGGATCGCATGCGCTGGCTGAATGATCCACTCAAGGGGCGCATACCTGGCTTCGTCTGCTGTTGTGCCACCTGGCTAACTGGTATGGTGATTGCCCTGCCCTATCCCATTTATACGATGTACGTGGAGCTTGGGGTGAGTACTAAAGCCTGAATGGGCTTAACATTGTGCTTTATTAAAAATTACGCGCTGTCACATGTGTGTGTTTGACTGGATGTGTGTGTGTGGGTGGGTATCACTGTGTGTGCGTATTTACCTGCGCCCAGATCAAAGCGAATGCAACAGACCGTTAAAGCATTAAGCTACTTGGCGTGCCTCCCTCATAGACAATGAATGCTCCATGCGCTGCGCTCTCAGTGCGGTTCAAGGAATCCGGCGTTAGCATTTTGAAAGGCAAATTTGAATCTCATTCAGTTGCCCTAGCTGCGCAAAAACAATCCAATTTTAACTGGAATTGGCAACCTATATTATGCAATCCAATCGAATGTAAACAGCTAACTCTTTTATTTTATTTATTTTATTTTGTTGTTGTTAATCATTGTCCCATAATAATCAAATAGAGCCTCTTCGATCTATGCTCTCGAGTGACGAATGCCACAGATGATGCAATGGAGCAAGCTCAAGTTGGAAGTAGTTTGTAGTTCCAATTTCTCCAATCGCTTGGCAAAAATAAGCAGGTTATCTCATTAGGTTCGGTTTGCCCAATGATGTGTGTGTGTGTGTGTGTGTGTGTATGTGTGTGTGCTTGGGTGGGTGTTGTTATGCAATGAGCTGTCGTTCCGTTTGCATTCACATTGCCATTGTCTGGTAAAACCCCAACGGTCTGATTAGCAACTAGAAACTGGCAAATGGCAACTGCAACGGTTCATGGCAAGGCGCCCAAACAATGTGGGGCTTACGGGCTGAAACTGTGGCTCTGGCTCTGGCTCTGGCTCTGGGTCTGGCTCTGGCTCTGGCTCTGTGGTTGTTGCTGTGGTTGTTGCTCTGGCTCTGTTTCTGTCTCTGTCTCTGTCTCTGGTTATGGCCATGGCTGTGCTGTCTGTATGGCAGCACGCTTGATGGTGTGTGGGCCAATTTGAAACTCGTTAACATGGCTTGTCAACTGCGCTTCTATTTCGCTGCCAAAATATTTGCAACATGGGGCTTTAAAGTGCGCCCACGACAACGACAACAACACACATAAATATTTATGGGCCATAAAGTGTTGCAACTTTTTGATATACTCAACGTGTACATGTTTTCCTCCTTACCGTCTTCCTATTTCCATCTCTATCTCTCTCACCACCTCGCTCTTACTGGGCGTGTGCTTGCGCTTATATGTATGTACATATATATTTGGACCTTCGTTTTAGTTGCTTGGCATCGATAACTATCAAATTTAGCGTAGCTAACTGTATTTAAGTATACCCTGTAGACGAGCGACTAGTGGTAGCATCGACTAGAGAGCAAAGATGACAATTTTAACAGTTGTTATTACTATATTATATTATATTAATTTTTTTTTTTTTTTGAATTTTTTAAATAATAATATTGCCGATTCCAGGATATTTTCTAGTTTTAGCTACCTTTTATACCTCAAACAAATTAAAAATTTGAAGTCAGGGTATCATGGTTCCATGAAAATGTCAGTAGGACCCCCTAAAGTGTATGTATATGTATATGTACGTATATACGAGGTATATGAGTGTATGTAAGTTCCTCATTAAGACGACGAGCTGACTTGATTGATCGTTCGTCTGTCCACCCACCCATCTGAGCCTCAGCAATCTCTTAAACTACAAAACCTAGAGTTTGCAGATTTTAAATGCATACACGTGTATGATGGTTTCATCATATGCTGTTCTCGAAATTCACTGGAACGAGAAAACACATTCACTCACTTTGGCTCTATTCCTCTTTGTTTTCTGTTGAGCGACTCGAGTGGAACTATTCGTTTGACGAGCATCGTGTGCGGAGAGAGATATGATTGACGTTCGCACAATGAGACTCAGCAAATAACTCAAAGAGCCACTGCACTATGGGGAATTTTGCCGTTTTTCGGGTATTTAGTCATTTTTGCGAAGTATGAAAATTTATAATTTTTTTATGTTAACATCTTAATAAAACTCCAAACTTTAAGGTACTGTACCCAAAATGTTGAATAACAGTCCACTGTTAAGCCTAACAGCTGTTAAAGTCAGCTGTTATCTTCGAAAAGCATTTGCCTTCAGCTTACAATTTGTGTTAGCCGATTTTCAAATCATCGTTATTCAATGACCAGACATTATTTTTGAGAAATTTAAAAAGGATATGAATTTTTAGGGCTTCTACTATGCGTTGGCTTAAAAACCAATTGATGTTTGAACTTATTTTAATCATTTATTGTATAATTAGCAAATGTTGTCAAATTTCATTTCTTGTAAATAAAATTAAACTTTGCAAAGACATATAAAACAGCCACCAGGGCGCACCAGTGTAATTCCAATTGCATGTTATAGAGTAATCAATTGGGATCTTAGTGCCTTTGTCTCAATGTGCACTTTTGCGCACAACCGGCGCAAATCAATTTTTAGCAGGTGACTATGAGCTGACCTGTGTGATATTTGGCTCAATGAAAAAGGCAACTCTAACCAAGAAATAGTAATTGTGATTTTGAAACTAAATAAGACTAATATTGATTCAACTTATAAATGATATTAAAAAAGCAAAAGCCGCTTTTTTTGCCAAAATATAAATTACAAATGGAAGAAATGCAGCAGGAACAAAAACTAGCTGACAACTATGAATGACTGCCTATGACAGCAAATGTTTATAAAAATAATTGTTCATTTGAGGCAGATTATGGAAAGTACTGTTCATCCTGTAGGCTTTTTTGGTAAGGAAGCGTCTGATTTGCCCAACCAGGTCTATAAATCAGACTAATTTCATCATGCATGAGAGCATGAGAGCAGAATCCATAATTTCGCTGATGGTTTTTAACAATGGATACATCTGATCAGATTATTTCTTCGGCAAATCTTTAGAAAAGATTTTGAAAGCATAAAGGTCGCTGTCTAATGAAGTTGTACGTATTGTATTATGTAAAGTTGAAGGCACAATTAAATCAGTTGAAGAACCCGAATTTTTTTAGCGGATCAATATTTCTGGCTGATTTGGAACTGGAAACTGAAGAAAACTAATTTCGATTTTATGAAAGTTCGATTGTTTTCAATTAAAATTATTATTTTAAAGTATGAACAAGCAAAATTCTTAAAAAAAAAAAAAAATTTTTAATACAAAATTTTAATTAATTTTTTTTGGGTGGGCGGTGACACGCCCATTTTTCTAAAATATATTTCTGATGGTATACATATTAATAATACAAAAACCGGATCAAAAAATCTGGCTTAGTTTTTAAGTTATTAATTAATACCCGATAATTTGGATTTTTCCCCATAGTGCACTGCAAGCAATCCTCACATGTACTTGTCTATTTGCACTACCACACACGCGCACAATTCACGGAATTGATATGTTTAACGAGCACGACACTCGCATGCATGCCAAAGCATGCACAAAAGAATTTTTGCGTGATTTAACTGTTTCATTTCACAAGACAAACCGATTTCCAGCCGATCTCGAATTAGCTCATTAAAGAGCCGATGCTATCGACTGCGCCTTGAGTCTTTAAAGGACACTCATTTGCAGGCAACAGTTTTTCTTTTCCGAACCATCTTTAAAATCAATAGTTTAACTTCATCTTAAGGCAAAGCTCCGATACAACAAAATATGGCAACATTCAGTTTACTGTGTGGACTGCTGTAATGCATACATAGGCTTTGTATATTTAGGATTTTCGGTAGCTCCTTCCTATTCCAGGGAAAAGAGAAAAAGCTGTACTTCGGCACACATGTGTAAACATACATAGATAGATACCACTATCATTGTCTGCATTGAAACAGTCCTTTTAAAAGGAAAGCTACTCTGTAATTAGGTAGAGTCCATTAGAGAGATAATACACATTAGCTATGGACTCATAAAAGAGAGTAAAATGATTAAAATTCCAATTCAGCGAGGAGTTCAGAGTAACTTCTCTTATTATTATACTATATTATGATATACTTTATATTGTCCATTTTAATAATAATTGTCTACAGGGTATCTGCTAGTATATCTAGAGTTTCTTATTTTCAAATTTATATTGTTATTGATGGTTATTATTATTGTGAGTTTTAGATATCAGTTATGCTAATATACGAATAATAATAATATTAATATTATAAAAAAATAAAAAATAAAACATAGATGTAGGGGGACGGGAAGAGTGGGAGGTAGAGCAAGTCTGGGTGGCTTAGTGAAAATGTTCAAAATATACATACTTATGCATATGTATGTATATGTGCACATACAACTGCAGGCTACAAAACTTTGTAAAGCAGAAAAGTTTCGATTAGAATAATGGGAATGGGCACATGTATATACATGCATACACTTACATACATACACATTTATACATAATATAGGTTTTTATAGAAGCGACCCAAAACATTCGGCTGTGTTAATATTGTAAATGAATTTATGCCTCTAAATAAAAGAGCAACAAGATTATCATTTATATTCATTCATTCGGGGCGAGCTAATGAAGTGGCGCTGGGCGAACCAATTGTGAATTGGGATTCCCAGTTGCCACTTGGCCAAGTGGCCAAAGTGGCAGCACTCTTGAGCCGAGCAGCAGGTGGGTTTATAGGGCCAAGAGCCCTTAGCTTAAGTTCAGCCATGGGATATGCCTAACGGCTATGTTCGGTGCATACGTACATATATCATTATTGGGTCGGTCGGCTGGCCGGCTTGGCTTGGCAATTATATGCGGTATTTATGATGTTGCCGGGGCTATAGACTCGCTCTGCAACGTTTCTGGCGACAATTTGTATAATTTATGTGGCAGTTCAGTGAATGTCTGTTGCCCATAAAAACTGACAGGACGATGGCAACAAGTGGCACAACAAACGACGCGACGACAATGATGATGATGATGATGATGATGATGATGTCGATTGCGAGCATAATAATCGGCTCGATGATTATTATTATTACTGAGCTGCATTAATGCCCACAATAAGGCTGATGATAATTGCGTCGATTTATAATATTTACGCCTAAAAGTCGATTACCATAACGCGAAACTACCAATGTGTAAGTGAGTGTGTGTATGTGTGTGTGTGTGTGTGCTCATATATGGTAGTCAAACTCAATCAGTCGTCAATAATATCATTAATGTGTGTGAGTGCGCGTGTCTGCTTAATTTGATAGAGTTCAAAGACACACACACACACACAAGCAGACTATAAGCACACGCAGATAGCGTCTAGATTCGTTGGCTGCCTTAGTCCTTGCCGAAACTCTTGGCCGAGAGGGCTTATTATCTCATTTGGGTTTGCCTCATGTGCAATTTATGAATATTTTACGTATACGTTATGGCCGCATTGCTCCTGAGGAGGGTAGATGTGACGTGCCATTTGGCTTGGTATTTCTATTTGGGTTCAACAAATTGCTTTGACATGCGCGCATACATACACACACACACACACACACACATACATATAGATGGGCACACAGACAATGTGAACTTTGATTCGTCATGTGGCAAGTGATTCAATGATGCTTCTGAAATCTTTTACATTCCTTTGTGTGCGCTCTGTGATGAACAATGATATTCAAAAATCATTTTGATGCGAGTATATATCTATATACAATATATGTAAACATATGTTGGCATATATTGTTTGCATTAGTGTCGCATTCACAACAAAATAAAATATGTTATAATTCAATCTGTTTGGCTGGTCCTTAAGGATCCACTTCTGAGATAATCAATCATAAGTAAACTACATACAGACTTTTCAAACTCTTTGATTCATGAACATTGACAGATCCTCATCTATACCTTCTCTCTCTCTCTGACAGCTTATGAATCGCTTATCGATTTTTAGCTTGGGCTTTATTGCCGCGTCTTTGGCCATAAGTCAGTGAGAGGAAATGCGACTCAGTTGCGAGACGAGCCGAAGTTGAGGTTGGGCATCTTGAAGCAACTAGCGATTTCTACGCTTGGCCAACTTTCGTTCAAGTTTGTCAAAAAAAAAAAAAAAAAAAAAGTTTGACAAAACGAAAAAAAGAGAAGAAGCAGAGGCAGAGGAAGCAAAAAAACACTCAAATTGAAAATGTTTTCATTGTTTTTTATTGGTCCCATTCCGAGCTGAGCGGCCCAGCGTCCCATGTTGTGCAATGAAAATGTCAACGCCACAACAAATTTGCCTAGTCGAATAAAGGCAGAGGCTGAGGCAAGGGCAGAGGCAGAGGAAGGGGTTGAGGCAATCCTTTTACCCACATCAAGCCCAATCTGTCATAAGGGCGTGTGAATCTCGCCTTGCCCATGCGCCACATACATACATAATTATAGACATACCTATATGTATGTGAGTGTATTATTTTATTTTTATAATTCAGTGCCATACAACTGTCAGAGAATTTCGACCGCAGACTGTCAATTAATTACGAGTTATGCGAGTCTAAACATTCGCCGGAGGAGGCTAAGGGATTTCTAACTAGCTTTGCTCCAAGTTTCAGTCGCCTGCTCGCTTCGTTTTCGGCAAATGGAGCTATAGCTCCATCCAAAGGCGTACAACATTGTCGGTACGTGCATGGTGTGCCCGGCCACACCCTGCGTCCCTGCCAAGAGCAGTGTGGCCAGAGTTTATTTATTTGTTTACCACGATGGCATTGCTGGTGTGCGCAGCAAGGTCTTGTTACGAATATCCGCTTGCCCGCATTGACTTTGGCACGAAGCGTTTCCTAATCCTTGGGCCAGCACCCACGCAGCGGGCGGGCGCACTTTCCCACAGCACACACCGCCCCCCGCCCGCCCACAGTTCCCCCATTCGTCACCATTATTAACCATTGAACTTAGCCGGATATGCGCTTGGCAAGCGAAATTATGCTACAGGTCACGAGCCATCCGAAGCAAAAAGAAACAACAAAAGTTATCGTAAACAAGCGACGGACGAGGGCTAAACGAGGCTAACCAAACCAAATGACGAATACAATGTTTAAATTACTGAATGATATTTAATGGCATATTAAATTGAAAAGGGGCTGACATCAGAGGGCAATCAGTTTAAGGCGAACGAGATGAAGAGCCTTATACATATATACATACACACATATATATGGTGTTGCGGCCAGAGGATCTCTTGATGATCACCGGAAAGCGCAAGCGTCAGGTCGACCATCCGACAGTGTTTTAGGATATACTGTGTAATGTTTTTGTAATTAAAATGTGAAAAATGCTTTTAGAAATATTTACAAATTTTGCATAAAAATCAAGTTTCAAATTAGCTGATCTGGTCATGCGTCAACAGGCAGTTCCAGACATTCGCTCACTATTCAATTTTTTTTTTTTGGTTTTTGTTGTTTTGTTGTTGTTAATGTTGTTGTTGTTGTTGTTTTGTTGTGTTTTGTTGCATTGCAGCATTAAACGTCACAGCTGAAGCGAACGACCTTGCGACGCTTCGGTCCATTTGGCTGCTTCAGGCATGACTTCAAAACCTGAGTATTGGTCTTGGGCTGGCTGTGATCCAGCGGCCTGTTCTTGTTTGGCAGCGATCTGAAGTCCCGATACGTGTTGGCCGTTAGCTTTTTATGCTTGTTGTCGGCCTCTATAGATTGTGCCGATAGATTGCATAGTTTGCCATTGGGGCTCTTGAGCATCGAGTAGAGCTGCGTTGAGTCCTTCAAGGGGAGATGCAATGACCTCAGGGCCAGCTTCTTTTGCATGCCCGTCAAGTTCATGTGAAACGAGTTTGACATGTCCAATAATTAGTGAGTCCGCGTTCTTGCCAACAGGGCCACAGTGAGTCGTTGCCAGATTGCTACCGGAAACTGAAAAGCCAATAATGAATTTAGCACAAAATAAAACCGAAATTGCTGTGTGTGTTACTGATTAACAAACGTGTAGGTCCAAAACTAAATAATTCTACGACAAACGACAATATTTCGAGCTCTCAATTTTAAACTGAATGTGAAAGCAATGTTGTCAAACATAGAACGACTCGAGTTTTCGGCCCTCGTTTCCGCAGTCTACTGAGAGACCCGGGTTTCCCACCAAGCAAAGTGCGTCAACAGATATCTTGGGTTCCACTAAACCATGCAGCTGGCAAAATTCATTGCCAACTCACCCATATGCATATTTTTATTTATTAGATGGCAGAATTTTAAATTTATATTCATGTCAAATGTTTGGGTGTCATGTCGGCTCAACTGTCTGTGAAAGCTGCGCAACTCTGTGGAATGGAATGGAACAAAATCTTGTTTACTTTTGTGTGTGTGTGTGTTTTTTTTTGTGTTAGATGAGAAATAGATGGACACATATTTGCAATATTTTATTGCTGCACTAAATAAATCAATCAAACTATATATAGTTCATATTATTATTTGAATACTCTGAATGAATGGGAAATCAGAATGTATGTTTTGTATGAAAAGTGTGTAACATGCAGAAGGAGGCGTGGCGGATTTTATTACATACTTTTATTAGATTTTACTTAGAAGAGTTGAGTGACTTGCGTTGGCTTGAACTGCTGGCGGAGTTCGAAATAAAATTTAAAAAATTCGATAAGTATTCCCATATATATCGATAATAACAATATCAAAATTATACGGTTAAATTATACCGTATACGTCTGTGCAGCTCGAGTCTCGCGTCTATGTCTATCTATCTTATGTTTATCTTGCACAATTCAGTTTTTTATATATGTGTACATATGCATATATGTGTATACATACATATGGTAGAATACCGATAGTTCGAAATGGCAAGGAGATCGGGTTCGATTTACACAGGAATTGAAATTATCGAGAATTATTGAGAACGATTTTCTTTCAAGGGGATAAAAACTTTTTCAAGTTATCGCGATTTTCGATTTGACGAGCTACAAATTATCGAGATTCGACTGTATATAAATTTTTGAATTCACCAAATTCTTTAGGTCAGTTGCAAATATAGGTAATATGTGAACAAGTTGGCTTATTTTCTAAATTACAAAATATGAAATGGGTTAAGTATATGCTGAAAATTTCAATGGAATCTACTTAGTTATGCAGAAGTTATAAAACAAAATGTTTGGTTAGTTGGCAAAAGCAAATGGGCCAGCATTGGGCTCATACACATGCACACCTACATTCAAATATGTGAGTTTTTGCCTATTCAAGGGAATCGAAATTCCGATTGTAATTGGAGTATCGCCAGTCGCAGTGAACTGACGGTGCTAGTAGAGCTGATGTGAAATTGTGAGCTCCACTTTACATTTTACATTTTTGGTTTGCTTCACTTTCGGTTCGTTCGAGGCTCGAGGGCGGGTATCTGCAAGTCGAGTACCTATCAGATTTGTTATTTGTGATTTATTATCATATTTCATTTATTCTGTGAAACCAAAGCCCTGAATAACTAGTTGAGCTACATGCTCGCAATCCAACATTATCGCCGCAATTGCCCTTTGTTTATTAATAGCGCAACAATTTGAGTTTGTTACGCACATGCGAATGCCGCACGGAGCGGAAATCGAAACGAAGCGGTCCGCAGGCTGCTCTTCTATTCAGTTGCGTAGGTTCCCTTATTTTTGTATTTTTTTATGTTTTTTGTATGTATTTTTCTTTTATTAGGAGCATCATTATTGTTATTATTATGCGTGTAACTTTGTTAGGGACTCGCGCGTGGGCCTGTCTGAGCCTTATTAAATTTCCCATTTGCCGACCTACCCATGCAAATGGCGTTCAGTCGAAGCAAATGTGCTGCGCAACGCCATGGCCCATGGGCCACACAGGCTGATTGCATTTATGGATGTAGAGACGCATTGCTATGCATATGCTGCGAAAAAAGCAATTGAAACTCATGTCCAAAGTTCCGAAACGATCAAATTGCAAATGTAATTGGGCGTCTTTTGAGCAGAGGTAAAGTAATTTCAACATGAAACAGATGAGTTTTGCTTGTTCGGCTTCGAATGAGCTGCAATCGCCTTTCATCTGGCTGTATGACAGCTCATGGACGTAGCATGCTCAAGCGAGGAGCATTTCTTATGTCCGATTATTGACACAATTCCACTCCAACCATGCATAGGACAGGGCCAACAGATGCCAGCTAATCGAATGTGTAAGTTTCGACTCAAAAGCTATACCAGCTCAAAATGCTTGCCCCGCACTTGCCTTCATTACTAATGCAGTAGAGGGTCCTGCCGGCCAGCGAATGCCAGTGAAGGGGACCTGAAATGTGTAGCATACTTATAAGGGCACATGTCAGTGATTTTCTTTGTGTGCTTCGCATTGCTAGCAACCCGCAGCGTCTGTCCGTTGCTAGTGCTGAAATGCTGCTAGATTTGTTGCACATGCAACTACATAAAAAACCGATTCACTTGAGTGTGTTTGCTTTTGTGCGTGTGGCTGCAAGCAGCATGGTGATGGTGTGTGTGGCAGGGGGTGGCGGAGGGGGAGGCGGTGCGACCGGCGGCAATTCGGTGGCAGCAGTTTAATGGCGCAGCTGTTGTGCGAATTGCGTGGAAATGGCCAACGAAACTTGGTTGATTTTATGCGTTTCGCAATCGCGACTCCTGGGGCAATCAATTTTTATTGCTCAAGCAGCGAGCGGAGAGCAGCGAGCCGAGAGCAGCTGGAGACCAGCGTCAGCTGCTCTAATAAGTTGAAAAACAACCTCAGCAGCTCAAAGGTTGCAATAACTCTCGTCTCCAGCCTCGCTACCAGCCCCATCCCCCCAAGCCCCACCCCCGCTCTTTTGATAAATTTCATATGCACACAGGTAAGATTTTGTCGTTTGTTGCCGCGGCAACATCCATATCCTCAGCCATTACCTGTGCACTCTATGGACTGCCTCGCGCATTACCGAAATTTCGGATAAATGTTTTACATATTGTAAAATAACAATATAAAAATTTTGCACACAGCAAAGCACACACATGGGTCGCTCACAAAGTCACTGAAAGAGGAGGTGCTCCATTTTATATACAATTGTATTATTGTTGTTGTTTAACTGCTAAATTCATGCCATTCAAATTTGGTCTCTTGGCAGCACAATTGTTGAGGTATAAAAGATCTGGCCTCAAGTGTATGAATAGCCTGGTGTACATAAAATGTATTGGGAAATGATTGGGATTATGATAAGGTATAGAAAGTCTGCATTTGAATTCTGATTGGAGCAATAATCAATAACATTAGCCGTGATATTTTTATATTAGAGAAGAGCTTGAATTGGAATAAAATTATATATATTATATATATATATATATTTTTCTTTTTTTCATATTTCATATATATATTTTCATTTGCTGTAAGACCACATCCAGCTCCTAATCAATTACTATAGCTAAAACAGCCTACAACAACTTCTGTGTCGACCCTCGCATACTTATCGCAAAAGTCTGTCGAGCTGGCAGCTGCTTCATACTCATACTTAACTTGGCAGCTAAAATTTCACTCTAATATGTATACACTCGTAATGTATGCGTGTATGCGTATGCGTGTGTGTGTGTGTGTGTCTGGGGATGAGGAACTGCGGGGGTGAGTACCTTGTTGCTGGGTACTTGAGCAAAAGTCCTGACAATATTATATGCCAATGCTTCTTATTCAAGTGGTTGGCCTCCGTTGATGCTTTTGTTGTTGCTCATCTTTTGGCCAGATTGTAAGCGGCTTATTGTTGTAAATCATGAACTTTTACGACTGCCCCGATTGTTGCTGTTGCCGAGTTGAATGAGTTATTTCCGAAGAAGCATATGGGAATTGGGCATTTATAATGCAGTTTTTGCACTGAGAAAGCGAGGGGAGGGAGAGGGAGAAGTGCTTGAAGAGTGCTCGATTTAACTCTACATCAAATACATTTGCAGCCATTCAACTGCAGGCCAAATGTGTCCATTAGCCGTTCAGATATGTGGCTGAGCCAAAGTGAATATGGTATTTGATATGGCCTACATGACGTGCCGTAGGGCCACTATCATAATCATTCACTTAGCTCGCACTTTAGACTTTTGGCCCAGCCTCAACTTCCATCGCTCAGCTCCATTTCCCAGCAGCGAATCTCGTCTGAATTTTAAGCAGCGTCTGTCTGCCTACACGTAGACAAGTACAAGACAGTTGGAATACAAATACTGATATAGCCAGATATAGCCAGATACAGATACATCTTATACAAAACATTCTCAAGTGCACAGACACTTCTGGCAAAGTTAGATTCTGCGTGTGGCTCGTCAATTGTAATACAGTCATCTACACCCACGCACACACACGCACACTCACACACAGGATGAAGAGAGAGAGAGAGAGAGAGAGAGAGAGAGAGAGAGAGAGAGAGGTAGACAGGTTTGTGGAGGCAGAGAGATATTGGCCAACTGTTCTGTGTCAGGTCCATGTTGGCATTGTCAGCAACCACTTGTTGTTGTTGTTGTTGTCATTGTTGTTGTTGTTGCTGTTGTCATTGTTGCTGTTGCTATTACAGACGCTGCCTTTGTGCTGTTATTGTTTGGCATTGGCTCTCGTTGTTATGCACATAAGCATAAAATATTAATACCCTTAACTTCAATAGCAAACAGTAAAAAAAATAAATAAAAAAAAAAAAAGAAGCAAAATGCAAAATAAATAAAAAATAACAAAGAAGGCGCTCTAGCGTAGAAAGCAGATGCCCATTGGCATTTTATAAAGCGCTGTTGTTAGGCTCCTTGGCGGCAGATTCTAAGCCCAATTATGCTGTCATTTATGTGATATCAAAAGCAGAGCAGCAGAAATAGAAAAAGAATATGCAGAACGTGAGGGAAGTTCACTTAACCGAACAACACCCCTGGCTCAGTCAACTTTCACAACGTTTACAGGGTATGAGACAGCTTAAAAAAAAAAAAAAACAACAAACACACACACACACATAAGAAAAGTCTTTGTTGAGAATTTAAAAGCCTTTTGATATACAAATTAGAAGTAGAAATCGAAATAAAGAAGACAAGCGAAATTCTATGCATTCTACGAAATAAAGCTTAAAATTTATGGCAAAAATTCC